TATATAACCCTGCCTGACATGAAAATTTTCTCCGCGATAAGGCTAGTAGCCATTTCTCACAGATTTTGGATCGCTTAGTCAAAAATGGAAACATATATATTTCAATGTTAAGAAAACAAGGCAAAAAGCAAAATCGGCTAAAAACAGCTATTTTTTTACAAAACGGCTAACAAATTTGCTGCCTGCTAAACTGAATTTCTCCGGCTATCGCAACCGGCTAAATCTAGCCGGAAAACGGCTAAAATGGCAACACTGGTCGCGTCCCTGTTCATGTTTCCACCACTATTCATGAGGATATTTGAATTTGATCTCAATAACAAAGCTTTTTTATATTGATATACATACGTAGATTTGTCATATTTTTGTAATATTTGTATCCTTTAGCATTAAACAAAATTTAACCATTTGAACCGAACCGAACCGTAGTTCAGATGATTCACGTTTTGCAGGTTTTTACAGAAAGTCGGTCGCTACCTTCCATAAGGTTTATTAATAGCGAAAACAGCTTTTCCTGTAAATCCTGGAAAACCTGCAATTCGTGAAGAATATGGAACGCAACTATTACTAATGAGCCGGCTCTTGAACCGGTCCAAGCTTTTTAAAGTGGTTCGAACCACTGAATCGAACCGCACCATTTTTTGGAGTGGTTTGCAGCCCTGCTTATAATGCCTTTGGTAGCGGATGAAGCCAAAGAGGTTTGCGACTGAAAACCAATCAAGAATTTCGATTTAAAAATCCGTAATTATGTAGGACTCGCGATGGCAAAAACTTCACTTCCTTGTGAAAATGAAAGCTAACTGGGATGTTCATTCTGAGACTTCTTGAAGAGGATAAAGACTGAAAAGATTCAGCGTTCGCATTAAGAAGGTTTTGTCTCGGCACAGTGACTGGGCAATTTCCATAGGTTCGTGTTTTCTAAAAAAAAAGATGTGCGGAAAGAATAGGCGCTATTTCAGATTAGCTGTGTTTAGCGCAGTGATACAGGGCGTCAACCGAAAGTGATAAAAACTATTCCTACTAGGCGGAAACTAAATCACAACCAACCAGAAATATTGTCGGGACTATAAGCGCCATAACACAGTACTTTCTCTTCTGTGCCAACTGATGCCAGTTGGATATGTCAAGTTAGGCCAAGTCCTTCACCACCTGGTCTTTCCAACGCATAGAAGGCCTTACTCTTCCTCTGTTACCAATATCGCGACCCGCGTGGAATACTTTCAGAGCTGGGGCAGTTCTGACCATTCGAACGAAATGACGTAGCCAGCGTAACCGCTTAAATGGTATGTGGCATACGCCATCGCCAACGCGCAAAGGCCAGTAAATCTTTCGCAGAACCTTTCTCTCGAAATATCCAAGAGTCGCTTTATCGGTTGTTTTCATTGTCCATGCTTCAGCGCCATACACCAGTACGGGCGTTATGAGTGACGACAACGGCAGAAGTATAAAGGACTACACCGAGAGAAATAAGCGTCCTAAAATCAACGAAATAGAATTTTTGTAGGGCCGTTGATGACTTATCTTTAATACAAGGTTAAATTCTTTACAGAGAGGCGTTTATCTTCAACAACTCAACTGCTGCGCTTTTAAAACGAAAGAGTTAATGTCTTTGCAAGAAAAATAAAGAAAAATTATTTTTCGCAAAGACAAATTCTTTACCAGAACTACTTAATTCAAGCGGTTGAAAAAACTATGTAAAAACTATTTATTATATTATGTTAAGCAGAGTTGGTGCAAAGGCGTAATTAATTTTAATTACTTCGCGTTCAAAAATGGTGCATGGACAATCGAGCGCGTCGAGTAAGGAAATCAGTTAGTTCAAATTATTCGTGTAAACGAACGAAGAACATCGCAGAAGCTTTAAAACTCACTTGAAAATTGCTGCCAACTCAGCAAACTGCTTTGTAAAAATTACTTATCAAGGATATTTAAGAACTTCGCGCGTTGAAAAGTGATTTTAGGAGTTTACAAGTCCGATCTTTGGCAACCTCATTACGCTCGTTTTCGCTGTTCACACCGCCGAAATTTTCGCGTTGCCTCTTTAGTATTTTGTTTACCGATGTGAGTTGTGAGTTACCGTGGACAAAGACAGCAAGCAATTTGCTTGGTGAATGGAAAATAGAAAACGAGGCGATAGCAGTCCTCGTAGAATGTGGCATTATTTGCATTGAAATTATTAAAATGTATAAGAACTACCAAAACATATGTATACTTTGCTAAGAAAAAATTTCATGCAAGATCTATCCAGCCATATATCGTACTTTTATACATCGTATATTAAGATCAATGGCAACTCTGTTTAGAAGTATGTTCAGTCCTGTAATACAACCCTGTAAATACTTCCGCCATTACAATTTCATCAAGATGATAGCCAACACGTAGTGTCAGAAATAAATCGTAAATTATCAAGGAAATCTAAGACCAAGACGTTATTAACTCAGGTGTGGAGTGCGACAAAATTAAAATGCCACGCGTCACTAAAGAGCAAGTCGAAAACACGCTTCGGGCAGCAGGAATAACGTTCCCACCTACTTCCACATTGGCGCAGTTGAAGAGTTTGTGGGACGGTATCGTGGGGCCATAGGAAAAATGCGCGGTTGCCAGGGAGACGTTTCGAGCCTTGGTGAAGGCGTTGCCGCGAGCGCCGAACCTTGCCGTATGTACCCAGGCTACCGATTTAAGCGCTGCGCCCTCCGCCGAAAATGCTCCTGTACTGAATGCCAATGACGAAACTGCTGCACTAAATTCCGCGACTTCCGTTATAAATATGACGCTCCCTGATGTAAGTACCAAGAATTCCGTTACAACAGCCGAAAGTTATGCCGCCAATTCAGACCCCGCTACAAAAAAAAACCGAACTGCCGCTGCTGAGGAAGACGCCGCTACTTTAGAAAATTAGCTTCAATTGTTGCGAAAACGCCGCGAGATTTTTGAACTGCAACGGGATATTCGCGAGCAGGAAGGAGCAGCAGACCCAAAGATCAAAAACCCTGTTTCATGGAAATTGAGAATGCAGTGCAGAAATTTAGCGGTGACAGGAACTCGCGGTCGATACATCATTTTTTGAACGATTTTGAAGAGTTGATGCGCACCATACATGCCGATGAAAATTTTACGCTCTCGAGCCTTCGCCGATCACTATATCATTTATATGATATTTTAATAACTAAATATATTTAGTTTAAATTTTAAGTTTTTTATATGTTGAAAGTTTATTTATTAATAATCAAAAATTTTCTGTTCAACTACAAACAAATTCATAGAACCATAAATTGAAAATCAAGACTTTAAACAAGTATAAAAACATACAAGTAAAATACCCTACATATACTCCCCCTCCAGTAAAACGCTAAATTAATTAATATTAAATGTTATTTCCTTTTTTGTATTTGGAATTGTTAGTGAATTAGAGTTTTGTGTTGTATCAGAAATTATATTTGCAGGTTTGAGTAAATCTATTGAAACTGTTTTAATCATATTTCCATATTGAATTTTGAATACTTTACTATTTTTCGAAATAATTTTAAATGGTCCTTCATAAGGTGATTGTAAATTTGATTTGTGAATAACTTTAACAAAAACGTATTCACAAGTATCCAAGTTCTTTGGAACAAAAGAGTATCCTTTATTGTGATGTATAACCTTTGATCTAACATTTGAAAAATATTTTCTTAGCTTAAAAAGAATTTCATTTGTATTGTCAACTTCATTATTATAACTGTTCGAAACAACTAATTCACCTGGTAATCTTAATGTTTGCCCAAAAACTAATTCTGCAGAAGAGCATTTTAAATCTTCTTTAATAGACGTACTAGTCCTAATAATATCCAAGGAAGAATTTCAGACCAGTGGGTAGAATCATCTGAAGCTGTAATAGCAGTCTTTAATGTCCTATGAAATCTTTCAATCATTCCATTTGATTGAGGATGATATGGGGACGTATGAATTTTGTGTGATCCTAACAATTTAGTTAATTCTGTGAACATTTTTGATGTAAATTGTGATCCTTGATCTACTGTTATATAAAGTGGAATGCCAAAACGAGGAACGTAATTTTGAACAAATGTTGTTGCTATAGAATTAGCTGAAAGCTCCCTAAGTGGATATGCCCGTGGCCATCGTATATGTCTATCAATGATAGTTAAAACGTAACGATTTTCTTTTGACATGGGTAATGGACCAACAAGATCCATATGAATATGTTCAAATCGTCCAGATGGAATGTTATCATTTAAAAGCAGCTAAGGAGAACGACGACACTATTTATTAGATGGCACATTCAACGAGCCAATGTGCCAAAATGCGGGTATAAACAATTATTGATTATTTAATATCGGAACCGAGATCATATAAGTTAATTGATTGGTTTTCACACATTTTTGAAACACAAATTATATGCTTTTTTTACTGCAGACAAATTGTTGCCAAAACACAAAAAAGAATCTTGCAATAAGTTACAAATACAAAAATGTAAAATATCGAGGGGCCGATATTCAATAATACCAAACGTTATATAAGGCCAGCATTAATAACACCGATGACAGTTAAATTTAGTTGAATTTTTATATCAGAATCTCATTTTTGTGAAAAGTGTGCAAATAGAGGGTATTATTGAATATAAGCATCGATATGTAAAATATATGTGAAATATATAACAAGCAATTTCTAAGCAAAAAGCAATACCGACTTAAATTCATATACAAAATTATGATTATCGTTAATTTCTTCATGATCCAATGATCGGATTTAAACCAAATTAGTATGGGACCACTGTTATAGAAATCGGTTAACGTGATCCAAAGTTATGCGGTAACATACATACAAAAAATATATATATGAGACATTCCTTTTTATTTCAGACACCAAATTTGGTGTCACACTTTCGATTGACTTCAATTTTTTT